GGCTTTCATGCACCACTGGTCACTTCTATATCTTTGGAAAAATTCTGTCATGTTCTGGCACACATTTGTTAATTAGGATTTAAAAAATATAATCGCCACATATTTCAAAGTTATAAAGGTGTTTATGATTGATTGAGTTTCAGGCATGCGTACCTTGTTCCAACACTAATCCCTTCACCAGTGTCCACTACCTGGCACCAAAGTCCCCAGTTTCCCTCATGTGCCTCAGGCTGCCTCTGTGGCTGGCACTGTTCCTTCCCCCATCGCCTGAGTGTTACCTTCTTATTTATCCCCCAATGACCCAACAAGGGGCAAGCTGTAGACCAGTTTCTACTGCCATTGCGTATTTAATATACGAAGCTTCATTATATCCCACATACATGAGAGATCGTTCTGAGTCTGTTCCTCTTCCTCTGATTTCACTTAACGTGACACTCTCCAGATCCATCCAAATTGCAGCAAACCGCATGACTATATCTTTCATACAGCTGAGTGGTAATCCATGGTGTATATGTACCATAGTTTATCCATTCATCTGTTCTTGGGCATCTGGGTGGCTTCCAGATTTTTGCTATTGTATATAGTACAGCAATGCACAAAGGAGTGCGTATGTCTTTTCTGCACTGTGCTTTTGCGCCCTTGTGGTATATTTCTAGAAGTGGAACTGCTGGGCCATATGCAAATTCAATTGCTAGTTTTTTCAGGAATGCACACGTTGTCGTCCCCAAAAGGCTGGATTAGTCGATAGTCCATCAGCAGTGAATGAGGATCACCTTTTCCTCATTTTTCTCTCCAACACTGGTTGCCGCTATTCTTTCTTGATGAATGCCAATCTCTGTGGTACAAGGGGATTAGCTCATTGTTTTTTTGATTTGCATTTCCTTGATGATGCAGAATATTTTTTATCCGGAATGTTAATGATATCAAAATTAATGATACCAAATATTAATATTATAATATAATATACAGAACATTAATAATATTAATGGTGCAGCATATCAATTCTGAATGAATTTCTATTCTGAATATTAATGATGCAGAATATTAATAATTAATATTAATGATGCAGAATATTTTTCATATGCTTTTTGACCATTTGTATATATTTTGAAGAAGATCCTGTTTATCTTTTCTCCCCATTTTTTTTGATAGGGTTGGATGGTTTTTCTTATAGAGTTCTACCAGTGTTTTACACCTTGAATATTAATCCTTCGTCAGATGAGTGGTAGACAAATAATTTCTCCCAGTCTGTGTGCTGTCTTTGTATCCTGGTCATCATTTCCTTTGAGGTGCAAGAAGCATCTTAGCTCAATGTAGTCCCATTGTTTATCTCTGTTTCAACTTGCTCGATCAATGGCATCGCATCCATCTAGTTGCTTCTAGATCCAATGTCATGGAAAGTTCTGCCTAAATTTTCCTCTACGTAAAATTTAGGATTTTACAGATTCAGGTCTGAGATCTCAGATTTTAACCCACTTGGGTTTGTTTTTTTTTTTGCTTATTGAGTTAAGTATTTTGGAAATTGCTCCCTTGTCGGATATATAATTTGCAAATATATTCTCTCATACATACATATATATATATTTGATTTTACTTCTCTTATGAAAAGGATTTTTTTACTTCGTTTTGCTTTGGGCTGGAGACATAGCACAGCGGGTAGGGCATCTGCCTTGCTCGCGGCGGAGCAGGCTGACCTGGGTTCGATCCTCTGCCCCTCTCGGAGAGCCTGGAAAACTACCGACAGTATTTCGCCCACACGGCAAAGCTTGGCAAGCTACCCGTGACATATCCGATAAGCCAAACACAGTAACAACAAGTCTCACAACGGAGACGTTTACTGGGCCCTCTCGAGCAAATGGATGAACAATGGGAGGACAGTGCTACAGTGCATTTTTGCTTTCAGAGTTCGTACTTGTAGTGCATATCTAAAAAACGATGTCCCCTATTTTCAAGATGCATTCTACCAACATTTTCTTCTAAAAGTTTTATGGTTTCAGATTTTTTTTAAAAGTCTTTCATCTGTTTCGAATTAATGTTTGTGTATGGTGAAAGTTAGAGGTCCAGTTTCATCCATCAGGATATGATTATCTGGTTTTCCCAATACCATTTCCTCAAGAGACTATCCTTGCCTCACTAAATGTTCTTGGCTCTCTTGTCAAACATTAGTTGATGGCATATGAGTCGATTTCTAGGTTCTGGATTCTGCTCTTGAATGCCAGTATCAAATGAGGTTGAGAAGCGCTTTTTCTTCAATTTTCTGGAAGAATTTGAGAAGGACTGGCATAATTATTATAACTATTTTTTAATATCTGATAAAATTCATGAGAAACTATCCGTTTCTACAGGGGAGGGGGTTGTTTAGTTTTTGTTAGTTTTGGGCTATACCCAATGATGCTCAGGGCTACTCCTGGCTCTGTGCTCAGAGATCACGCCTAGAGGACTGTGGGGGACCCTATGGGACACAAGGATGAAAGCCAGGTTGGCCACATGCAGAACAAGAGTCCTCCCCGCTGTACTATCACCCTGGTCCCCTGGACTTCTCATTGCTGGAGGGTCTTTGATTACTGACTCATCTTTTGTTCTTGACACTGATCTGTTCAGACACTTTGATTTTCATGGCTTAGTCTTGGCACATTCTATGTTCCTAGCTTCTCTAGTTTGTTGGCTTGTAATTATTCATAGTTGTTTCCTACATTCCTTTATGTTCCTGTGTATCAGCTGTGAGGTCTCTTTCTAACTTCAAATTTCATTTTTGAGGGTAGGTAAAGGGTAGTCAATTTGGGCTATCTTTCAAATTAAAAAAGCACTTGTTGATTTATCATATTATCTTTCTGGTATTGCCTATTCTGCTTCTAGTCTGATCTTCATTATCTCCATCTTCTCACTGACTGAGAGCCTAATTTGTTCATTCTCTGAGGTGCAAGGTCAAGAGTGTTTACTGGAGATTCTTTTTCTTAATAAAGGCACTTGTTGGAATAAACTTCCTTCTTAGGATTGCTTCCAATACACTCCATAGGAGGCCTAGCTACTGAACTACAGTATAAGAACATTTTGTATCTGACTTGGTACTTCTCTTCATGAATGTATTGAATATTTTCGAGTTACTATTAATCACATTTTTATATTTTATTTCAGTTGGAACAGCTTTCAACCCGCCCCCCCCCGCCCCTACATTCAGACTGGTTTATTTTTATGTATAAAATCTCAAAAGTTCTTATCTCTAGGGCAAGTCTAGAGAAATACAATCCCCTGGCTTTTGCATGTGTGGGACAGCATCACTCAGCCTCTGACGGTAAACTGCTGGACAGCAGGGAGTGGCTTGGCAGGTTTTCTCTCCTTCCCTCATACTCTAAGGATGTCACCTTTCTCCTCACATAAAAGGCTTCTACTGGGAAACCCGCTGGCAGACTTAGGGGAGGGTATTTTCTGGCGAGCTACCAGCTTTTCTCTTGCTGCTTTTAAGATTCTGTGTCTCCGACGACTTAGAATTGCTCTACTATTAATGTATCTAAGAGAGACCTCTTCAAATTGAGTTCGTGTGGCCATCTAGAAGCTTTGTGACCTCAGGTATTCAAACCTCCCCCAATGAGGGGAGTATTCATTCATTACTCCCTTAAATAAACGTCTTGTGCCACTTCCCTCTGTTCTCCTTCTGCAGCTCCACAGCTTACAAACTGTTTCCTCTGGTGGCATTCCAGGCGCCATAGAGGCGGGCTTCACTTTCTACCCTTCGCTTTTCGGCTTCTCCTTTAAATGAATACTTAGCAATTTCCCCGCACTCTCGCATGCAAAGCCTTTCTTCTGACTGGCCTAGTCTGCTACCGATACTCTAGGTTGCATGTTCTACTTCATTCTCTAGAGTCTACTTCATTCTCTAGAGTATTTCTATTACTTCTGTGTCTTCATCAGAGCTCTTATTTCAATTCCTAAATGGACCAAAATATGTTTCCTTGCATCGCCAAGTCTTTCGAAACAGCTCTTCTGGACTCTTCATTGACCACTCGCAGCTCTCGGTGTCTCTGGGATTGACCAGAGACAGACGACAGGGCCAATAGTCCCAGATGCTGCAAGTTCCCTCTGGTCGGGGTGGCTGTCGTGGCATCCAGAGCAGCAGAGACTTGCTCCAGTCTGTACTGTCTGTCTCTCCTATGTTGCCAAACTCCAAGAGCTGGCCTCAAGAGTGTGTTAGAACTTTTCTGATGCGAATATGGGTTTCCGCAAAGGCTCTCTTCCAGGTGGGTGACATCTCACCGTGTGCTCCAGGTGCTTCCAGAGTGCACTTGGCGCTGGAGCTTCTTCACTGAGAGCTCATGCCAAGGAGAAAGGCACGGGTGCCTGGTATCTGATGCACAGCCAGCCAGACTCCTCCCAAACCGCTGGGCTGACAATTTAGGACCCCACAGTAGCCACAAAGGCACTTTAAGTCTCTACTTGGAGGCCAAATGTTGTACGGACCAGGGAGAAGGGAAAGAATGAGTCATGAATTTGAATAGAAATAGTCACGGAAGGTTAGTGACTACTATATTATATATCACAGATCAAGAATCTTTAAAATACAGATATTGTCTTAGTGGATTTTTCTCTTACGAAAGTAAGGTTGAAAGACACTTGAGAATTACTGTGATCTGAGAATTAATGACTTTTAGGGAGACACTGAATCACAGCTAAACAAACAAACGGCAATGTTTCTGGCACAAAATTATCAGATCTGTGGGACCAGAGATATAAGAAGAAGTTAGGGCACTTGCCTTGCACAGGGTCAGCTCAGGTTCGATCCCTGTCACCCCATCTGGTCCCCTGAACCCCACCGGGAGTGATCCCTGAGCCCAGAGCCAGGAGTAAGCTCTGAGCTGGGTGTGGCCCCAAACCAAAACCAAAAACCAAAAACCAGAGCTGTAGTCCAAAAGCTTGTTTTCTTCATAAAGCAACTGTCTGGAGTCATTAGGGAATTTCTCAGAACCTCTTGTGAAGCGTACGTTCAGACAATTACCACAACATACCAGGGTTCCATTTAAGTCGTGACTCAGGTTCTTCATCTCCCCCACAATGAAAGCAACCAGGTAGGTGCTCATCTTCACACTCTCATAAAACTCATCCTGAACAAGTCCATCTCCCACAGGCACTGAAGATTTCTACAGGCAAAGGGGAAAAGACAGTTTTGTAAATCTGAGAAGAAACGACAATGAAAAAATAAACAGAGGAACTGACAATTCAAAAAGGAGATGAATATTGAAGAGGCTGGTATAATTTAATCTCTGCACAGATTTCTTTACAGAGCATGGCCCTGTTTTTGGCCTGCTCTGCCATCTACCAGGAAGACAAACTGAGCACCGTGAAACTCTTGTAACGTGGAGGCTCCAAAGATGACTTTACATGAATGTTAGTGAGAGATAACAACATTGGTGTTTTTCTCTCCTTTAAAACAACACAAACCAAATCTTGCCTTCTGACCTAGCAATATGCCCCTCAGTGCTACAGAGAGTAATGGAGAAAGTCACAGCTGATCATCTCTTCAGACTGAAAGCAAGCATCTTGTTTTCTTACAAGTGTGCTTCTCAGAACCCCTTACCCCCCCCCCCCCCTTCATCTTCAATTGCACACGCTGTTTCATGTTATAGTGAAGCCAGTTATGGAGGGAGGGAGGAGAAACAAACACTCTGGAAAGACTCTTGAAGACTCAGAGATAGACGGTATGAAAACAGCCACATTCATGATCCAGAGAAACACCGAAGAATCTCGGAATCGGTCAGCTCACTGCAGAGACTTTTCTAGACCCTAATTATCTAAAATTTTTGATATCTAGGAGAGCACTGCTGCAAGAGCAGTCACGCGACATCCTATGTTATTCATAGCAGGCAATACAAGTAAATTATCTAGCATCTGCCTGTTCGGCAGGTTTGAGTGGTGGTGGGAAATTCAAAATAATGGTGGTGGGAAGCTATGACACCATCATACCATCCAGTGGGACTGGTGTCGAAATACTGAATGTGGAGCAATAGCACAGCGGGTAGGGCGTTTGCCTTGCACGCAGCCAGCATGGCCAACCCGAGTTCGATTCCTCCGCCCCTCTCGGAGAGCCCGGCAAGCTACCGAGAGTATCTCGCCCACCAGGCAAAGCCTGGCAAGCTACCCGTGACATACTCAATATGCCAAACACAGTAACAAGTCCCACAATGTTACGGGGACCACTTGAGCAAATCGACGAACAACAGGAGGACAGTGGCAGTGAATCCATTACTGTGAACAAAGTTATGAAAAGAAAAAAATAAAACAGTCACATTCTCTTGGTTTTACAAAGGAACACACTCATCTCCGAGGACTCATCAGGCATCAGACCACGAAGCCATTCTGGACTGCCCGGCACAAAATCCCTCCCCAGCCCAGACTCACTACCAATAATTGCTTCGAGCTGACTCTGCCAACAAGCCTCTGCATATAACCATAGTCCCAGGCTGAGATTTCGGGGGACCAGCAGTACATTGTCTTCTCAGGTTTGCCGGCAGCTGAATAAAACCACTTTTCTGCACTCACTCTTGGCTCACATAACTGGTCTCTGAGTGGCAAGCCCCAGAACTTGTGCTCCATAACAAAATGATCTAAAATGACTTTGTTCAGTGGCATGCTCATGTCAGTGACCCCAAGATGCCGTGTAGAGTCAATGCTGTGCACTGCTAGAGAATTCTATGCAATCTGTGGGAAAGCAAGCAGCCTTGAAAGATTTTCCAAGTAAATCAGGTATTATCAACACCAGCCAAGTCAGCACCCCCTCCATCAAGAAAGACTAACGTGAGCGGACTGGCAGAGAGCCTTCTGCAGTGGCATCCCAATGAAGGAGAACCCAGGCCAGGCCACCCAAGGGCTGACTGGATGGTCTGTCGGGTGTGGCAAGTTTCCCACCCCTAGTGACATACCCTCCAGGAGGGTGTAATTAGACTAGACACAAGTGCCGGGTGTCAGTAACAGGGTACCTTCGGTTATATTTCGCCTCAGAGTGAACCGCTTGGTTTTAGCCAACTGTTTCCCATGCTCACATCCAAGAAAAGAAGTAGGTTTTCATGTTAAACCTCCACATTATAATCATGAGTTTTTACCAAGCAAATATCAAGGACAATCCTGACTCAGAATGATCAAGTGCCACTGTTTGGAACTGCAGATTCACCATGTCCCGTGAATCTTTTTTTTGGTGTGCCACACCTGGCGAAGCACAGGGGTTACTCCTGGCTCTGCGCTCAGGAATTATCCCTGGCAGATCTCAGGGGACCATATGGGATGCTGGGAATTGAACTCGGATCAGCTGCATGCAAGGCAAATGCCCTATCCGCTGTGCTATCACTTCAGCCCAGTCGCGTGATCTTTAGTACTACCCCCAGTCATTAATACTTATACATATATATATATACACACATATGCAGAGAGAGATAGATATGTATATCTATGGACACATGTACATACACACATCACACTTCCTAGTTTTGGTCCATAATTTTTCACATCCGTGTCTTTATTTCCATCCTTAGATTGACTTCCCAGTTGGGTTTAACGTACATATTTAACTTTTTTAAAGCACACCCAATAGCAGTCAACAGAAAAAGGAACTCAAACATTCTTAAAGGGACGCACCTGAAGATTTTACACTCAAAGATTAAGACAGTACCTTGGGCATGTTCGATAAAGCTGTATACTGTTCTTCCCTCGTGATCTTGATGGCAAATGTGGCTTTAAAAGATGGCTCATCAAAACAAGGAAAAGCAGATCTTGCTGCCAGGGGTTCAAATTGAGTTGCAGCAAAGTACCTGTAACAAATGCAGATTAACCCAGTGGTTATTGAGGACCTGCTACTCAAGTCATTTTGACAAGTGTTAGAGCTCCGTAGACAAACAGCCCTGGGTGCCGGTCAGGAGAGGATCTGCACTCAACTGAGAGAGTCGGAGGTTTCGTAGGCACCAGCACCCGTCAGGCTGCAAAGCATGTCATCAACTGAAAACCAAAGGAAAGAAACAAATCCTGTTCCTGCAATTAAAGATGCTGTAATTGGTGACATCTGAAAGGGGCCTGAAGAAGAAAGAATGTCTGAAGGTGTAGAGGAAGTAGAGAGAAGGCTCTGAAGAAAGGAGGCAAGGCAGAAGAGGGTCTTCAGGGCCTGCGCTGAGATCTCCAAGGGGGTGGCAGATCTCTGCCATTGTGAAGGTTCTTACAGATGCTCATGGTGACAGGTGACTGGGAGCTGCGTGAGTTGCCCTTACTGAGCACGGCTGCCCAACACCGCACCTCAGGCTCAGGACTTGGGGGTCCTAGGTATCCTATCGTTCACTGCTTGTGTCATCCTCCTCTGATACAAATTTATTTTCCTCTCCCTCCCTCGTCACAAAGATTTAAGTTGTTCAAACATTTAAAAACCACCAACAATGTCCCCAGTTGGTGGTGGTAAATGTACACTGGTTATTTACCACCAGTAAATAACTGAAGGGGTACTGGAACACTGTAGGACCGAACCCCCATCACAAACAACAATTGTATCTGTGCAGCTACTGTGACTCGACTAAAAAAAAAAATCAATAAAATGAAACAAAAATAAATAAAAGTTTAAAAACATGGGGCTGGAGCAATAGCACAGCAGGTAGGGCGTTTGCCTTGCACGCGGCCGACCCGGGTTCGACTCCCAGCATCCCATATGGTCCCCTGAGCAGTGCCAGGAGTAATTCCTGACTGAAGAGCCAGGAGTAACCCCTGAGAATTGCCGGGTGTGACCCAAAAAGAAAAAAAAAAAACGCTTGTAAATTTAACTGGTTCAGAAGTACTCCATTGTGGGTTGACCTCAAAGCACAAAGGAGAGGGAGAAGGGAGGTGCAGGTTTTTCTGAGGCAGAACAGCAGACGTCTGCGCTGGGCTCTTGGCACAAGCGTGGCCCTGGGGGACAAAGGAAGGGGTCTGGCCGGTGTGGCACTCCACAGGCCTTGCCTGGACCCGGGGGCCTTGCTCGCTCACTACCTGTTCTCCACTTCTAAAGGATGAGTAGAAAAAGAGTGTGGAATCTGGAGGAAGAAGAAGCACACTCTGCAATTTACCAGTCACGTCGTTTCTGAACAAACCAGAGGCCTAGGTCGAAAGTTCCATAATTAGGTCACAGCTAAGGGTTTGCATAAAGACTCATCATAAAAAAATACTTGTATGTTACCAAACCCTACCGAGATGGTTATACTTTATAGTCACTTATAAATTATTTATAAAGGCCAGATAGTCATGATCTTCGTATTTAAAATCATGCCTAGTAAGGATTTGCCCACGTAGCTGTTTCTGCTTGGGTAAACGGAAGAGATAGCAGGCAACATGGGTGATGCAATTTCAACACAGTATGCTTCCGACTTTCACTTCGTCACCCTAATCCCAAATCGTACCCACTTAGCAGAATTTGAAAGAAAGCCCCGGATAACAGGGGGTAAAGTTTATGATGCTAGTTACTCCTGGCTCAAGACTGGTTCACATGTGAAGACACATGTAAAATGTGTCTTGGTGACCACTAGGAACACTGGGCCTGCCACGGGCCTGCCAGGGCCACAGGGCTTAGGAGATGAACACTGTTTTGGAGGGCTCTCAAAAAACAACAATAAAAGAGAAAAATTAGTTATTGAAAGAGAAGCCATGAAGACTATCTCCATACGAGGGTACCTTAGGGATGGCTGATGTCTGAGGGCAGGGATCTCTGTTCTACCCAGGCTGAATTCATGCAAACTTATTCTTTCATCGGCGACTGAAGATTTGCTCTTAGAAATACGAACCATGGTTTGAGCACCATCTCAAGAGGCACTGAAGGTGACTGTGACTTAGCTGGGGAGAACTAAGAGAATTCTAAGCACCAGTAATGACACGGGTTATGGAAGAGAGGCCTGAACTCAGTAGGCTGTGAGGCTACAGGACACGGGTGGTCCCAAGAGCAGCCCGACTCCAGGCCAGCAGGGCATTCCCCTGGTGCCACCAGCTCGCTGTGAGAGGCTGAGGGATTAACTGTCCGTGCCTCTGCTTTCCCCACCTGTGACATGAAGGATTTCGAGAACCTTCTCTAACAGAACTAAGCAAAATCCAAAGCAAAAGAAAAAAAATTGCCTTTAAGGGCAGTTTTTGGACAGGGTGAGAGAATAAAAATAACCTTCTAAGCTTTTATCTCTTTTCAAGAAATTGAATCATGTAGGATATTCATTTTGCCAATCCAGGTAAGGTGTTATATGTATACAGAATTTCAGACTGATTCAGGAAATTTCAAAATCCTGCTTTTAATGATTTTTGCTCTTTTTTGTTTTGTTTTGTTTTCGCTTTATGGGTCACACCCGGCGATGCACAGGGCTTACTCCTGGCTAATGCACTCAGGACTTACTCCTGGCGGTGCTCGGGGGACCATATGGGATGCTGAGAATCGAACTCGGGTCGGCCGCATGCAAGGCAAATGCCCTACCCGCTGTGTTACTGCTCCAGCCCCTGAATATTGTTTCTTAATTTTAAGGAATGACGTTCATTTGTCAAGCATTCTCCATAGCACAATTCTGCCCATGACAAGAGACGAGAAGGGGCACTGTCAGAAACCAGCTCACTGTGGCCTCCAACAGTTCTCTCACTACACAGGAGCTGCACTCTAATGACAAGTATCTCACTGGAGGAGGTGACAAGAGGGGTTGAGCGGCCTTCATGGTCCCTTGGATGTGAAGATCTCTTTGCTTATGGACATCCTATATTTCCTAGAGATGGTGGAGACCTCCGAAGGAGATCTACAGCCACGAATATCTGGCTGCAACTACAATGAGAAACCAGCTCTGAAGTCAGAGTTCAGCAAGAGTCAGCTGTGGCTTGCCTAAGAGCACAGAAAGGAAAAAAAAAGTTACATATCTGAAGAGAAATGCAGAGCTTGCGTCGCCACATTCTCATTTTAAGAGGGAATAAACATTTTTCCTTCAATGATATGAGATACCCAATTCAGTTTCCTCCGTGTACCAATAAGCCATCAGTAACTCGCATTCTGGATTACAAAATCCTCTTAGAAAGCTCCAATTACCTGCATACGTCTCAGCAGAATGTTGTGCACAAGCAAATTAACAATACTGCTATTTAATAACACCTTGCACATGATACGCACGAAAATCTTCCCACAATTTCTTAGTAAACATAATGAGTACTAATATTAAAATACAAGACATAACTCAAACAGGGAGCATTTGATTACTCTGAGTCACCTTTTTTGGAAAAAAGTCAAACTGAATTTCTATTAGATTTTGCCTTAGATTTTCATCAATAAACATTCTATTTGAAAATAGAATTACACTAAAAAAAAAAAGCAGCAGAAATTAAAGATACTAAAAAAAAATGTAAGCATGCTGACATTTCTTCACACTTTTTTTCGTTCTGTTTGGGGCCACAAAAGGTGATGCTCAAGGAGTAACCTTGGCTCTGCTCTCAGGAATGACTCCTGAGCACATGGCTCAGGGACCATACAGGATGCCAGGGATCAAACACTGGCTGGCCACAGGCAAGGCCAGCACCCTGCCCGCTGGCTGTACCCACTCTCTCTCCAGTCCCCATATCCTGTTTTCACCTTTTGCTAAACACCTGCTGAAGTTCTGCCCACTAGGAAAATGAGGTCTCCAACAATAATCGTTACACTTCTGTGCTTTCCCTACAAACACTGCAAGCCCACAGAAAAATGCATTGGTCTTACAAGGAAAGTGCAAGGTCACTAAGGTCTTTCTATTTGTAACTGATACCATCTTTGTCCTTTTACCAGGAAATATTACGGTCAAGATGTTGACTGAGGGAAAGAGTCTACTTTTCAAAATCATCTTCCTAATATTTTGCATACACGGTAAGAATTATTTTTTAAAACCACCGTCAATCGATCGCCTTGCTGGGCACAAAGGGCCCCAGAGTCGGAGCAGAGGTAGAGAAAGCAGGAGCAATTCAGCGGGCCGCGTGATGACGTACTTGGTCTGGTTCCCTGCGTCCGTGTAGGAGAGGCCGTAGAAGCCGTAGTAGGTGTTGGATATGTTGGCCGTGTACTCCACCTTCAGCGTATAATTGTGCCCTTCCAGAAGGGCCTCCGGGGCAACGACGGCGATCTGTTCGTGGAACGGATACTCCAGGAGCTCCACCAGCTTCTCCTGGCTGGAGACCGCGGATGAGAGGGTGACCCGTGAGATGTTCAGGCCTGTGCTGTGGAGCACGATGTTCCAGGTGGCCTGCAGCACCTGGACGGCGATGGTCGCTGAGCCCGAGAATGTCATGTTGCTAAGGTTGGGGCGCAGGTGCAGCTCGTAGCGGAGCGGCACCACGGCCGTGGGCAGCCGGGCCTGTGCCCACGGGAACAGCTTCCCGTTGGTGGCCAGCGGCTGGATGAGTCCCATTGACTGGTTGCTCCTGTGGCAGCCTTCTTTGGTAAAGGTACATCGGGGCAGGAGATAGATGACCATGATGACTGAGATGGCCAGCATGATGACAAGCACACAGACCACCATGGTTCTGGCGGAGGGCACAGAGCACACCCCCTCGGGGCTGGGCCGGTAGCCGCCTGCACCATTCCGCAGGCCCGAGCTCCGGTTCATGAAGGACATACCCAGCAGCTTGGCCGACGATGCATAGTCCTCCTCGTCCTCGTCCATGTCGTGCTCGCCAAGCCCCCGCACCAGCAGGCGCGACCCCCGGGGCTCATACTCCACCTCGTCGGGCTCCAGAGGGTGTAAGCAAGGCTCTTTGGCTAAATCCACCACGTCCGGTTCCTCCTCAAACATGCTGTTTTCGATCATATTCCTGGGCAGCTGAAGCCGATCTACAAAGCCATCGAAACACAAGGATGGGAAGGCAGAGTTAGGAGACATGCGTGGGACACCGTTTTCTCGCGCAATCGTATTGAAGCTGAGGATTTTCTCTTTTGGGGGCTGGGGCTTGGGGGCCACACTTGGCTGTGCTCAGGGCTTACTCCTGGCTCTGTAACTAGGATCTCTCCTGGCAGGGCTCGGGGAACATAGGTGGTGCTGGGGACTGAACCCAGGTTGGCTGCAGCCCCAAGTTTCTTCCACCGTACAGCTACTGACTAAGCTGCCTGCCAGTACAGACTCAAGCAGAAGTCAAAGAACACTGCAAACGCGCAAGAAGAGAGCGCCAAACCACCCACGTGTGCGGCGAGAGGTGGCAGGAACGCACTGTCTCTTTGATACACACATTCTGGTGCGACCACTGGGCCCCTGTCCTGAACTGGGAGAGGCCTGCGGGGCAGGAGGGGCAGAGAGATGCAAGGTCTGTGCCACGAGGCGTCCACAGCGTTCCTCTGAGTCTAGTCCCCAGCATCCCTAAAACTCAGGGCTGCAAGACCTTCAAGCCACTCTCTGGGGAGTGCTGGGGCTTGGGGGCCACGCCTGGCCCACAGATTACTCCTGCCTCTGTGCTCAGCTTATGTAGAGTCGGGGATGGACTCAGGGAGGCTGCATACCAGGCACATGCCTCATGCACTGCTCTGTCTCTCCAAAGCCCTCACCCTTCTCAGGGCCTGAGTGTCTCTGAGCCCCTTTCCCAGGTGAGCGGCACTGAGCATCAGGCCAGACCATTCCTCCCAGGAACCCTGAGCAGCAGATTCCTCTTCCCAGCAAACTGGAGGTGCAAATTCCACAGGGATAAATAAGAAGGACTCAAAGGAGCCCTCCAAACAAGAACAGAAAAACAAGACAAAAAGAACACTGAGCATCAGATAAATGGTCATTTTTTTTCCCTATGGACCTAGAGCATTTGCCGGCTCTGTGGCCACCACCAAACTAACAGAGCATAAGTGGTGTCGGGGAAATTTATAAACAGATCCACACAAAACGGGGAATAAAAGGACGAAGAAAGACAAATATATGTAACAATAAGGCCTACACTTAGCAGCAATATGCCTACACTTAGGCAATATTCTTGTTTCAATCAGAATTTTAGTTTTTAAGGGACTGCAAGTTTGATGAGTGATAGCCCCTTGAATCTTTATATTAAGGAACTTTATATATACACATAATTTTGCACCCTCACAACAATTCTATAAAAATTGCTATTGTGACTATCTTGAGCAAGAGAAAACAAGTTATTCTCGCCTCAGAGCCTCACAATTAATCACAGACTGCTACTGGGGCCAAATTTAAATTACCATTTCAAATTTTAGACTTTTTTGTTAAAGTGCGTTCTCCTACTCAGCTAAATAAAAGACGACAATTTGGATATAAATTGTACTTCTCTTGTACTTGGCAATGAAACTGCCAAGCGTAGTATCATTTCACTACTAAGAAGCAATACTTGGATGAAATAGCTTACTTAATATCTATTTAAAAAAGTGCCTGTGTATCTTGGGCCATTCCACAAGCATCTGAACAATGGCAGCTTGGCCTAGGACACAAGTTTACCAGCAAGCCCTAGAATAAACATTACTATTTTTTTTTAATTTTTTTTATTATTATTTTTAGTGAAACACCATGAGGTACAGTTGTAGATTTACAATTTTTTGTGCTTGGGTTTCGATTATACAATGATCAGATACCCATCCCTCCACCAGTGCCCATTTTCCACCACCATGGATAATATCCCCCCACCCCCATCCCCCCATCCCCCCCTGCCTCTGTGGCAGGGCAATCCCCTGTGTTCTCTCTCTCCTTTTGGGTGTTGTGGTCTGCAAAAGAGGCATTGAGTGGCAAACATGTTCAGTCCATAGTCTACTTTCGACATGCATCTCCCCTCCTGGGAGGATCCTCCAAACATCCTTTATTTGGTGCTCCCTTCTCTATCTGAACTGCCCTTTCCCCTAGAATGCCCGGCTGGCCTCTAAGCTATGGAGTAATCCTCCTTGTGTTGATCTCAGCTATTCTTGGGTATTAATCCCCTATTCTGTTACTTTATATCCCCCAGATGAATGCAATCTTTCTATGTCTATCCCTCTCTTTCTGACTCATTTCGCTTAGCATGATACTTTCCAAAAACATTACTATTTTGCTACTCAAAGTTCCAAAGACCTCTCAGAACAATATAAGTTTCCATTTTTTTTTTAAATTTCATCTTACCCCCTTTCTGCCATTTCCTCTGTCCTCTCCATTCTGAATTTCATTAAAGCTCTGTGCTTTGGGGCCGGAAAGAGAGCACAGTGGGGAGGACGCTTGCTATGTATGTGAATGAAGTTCGATCTCTGGCACCCCATGTGGACTCCTGAGCACACAGCCAGGAGCAAACCCTGAACTCTGCCAGGTGTGGTCCAAAAGCCAGACAATACAAAATACATATAGAAGGTAGACTACTTTAAGGATCTGCTTTGGGTAAACTTTTCAATCACTCCCTGCTTCTTTTAATAATCTGACATCTGTCCGTGTCCTGCATCTTGTCTGGAAGGTGGATGGTATTTGAACATCCCATTCGAGGGACTCACTCTGAAAGTTTGTATACTGCATCATTATCTTAGCAAAGTTACCTTCTGTCGATTGAAATAGCAGATGGAACAATAGATTTTAATAAATGATTTTGTTTGGAATCATTCAAATTCGTGACTGAACAAATACTGCTACATTTGAAATTAAAACTTTGAGTATTTTTTTAATGAAGCAATATTGCACTAGAACAGTATGTGTTTCACCAATAAAATTCCTGCAGGGGCTGGAGACAGCTCGAAGGGCTTGGCACAGGCTTGGCAGCAGGAGAGCCTGGTTCAGGGCCTGCTGCACCATCAGGTCTTGTGGCCAAAGACAAAAAAAGAAAAAGTCAACACATGTATACATGACATTAACTATGGAAAGCCTGAGACCCTTCTGCTTGCCTGTTGTGTTCCAGGGGTCATGGCAAGTGGGTCCCCCCAGCCTGCTGAGCTGAGCAGCTCTTCAGCCCTGCCAGTTTGAGGCTACCCTGGGCCTCTGTGATGCCCGGTGCTCCTGAGCTGTTCAAGCCTCATTCCTCTTCATACCTGGCACAGTGCTGCAAGTCGGCTGGAGATCAGATTATTTTGCTTTTAGTTTGCTTTTCGTTTTGAAACTGGTTGAAAGGACTTTTGTTGACTTCCATTTTAACCTGGGGGCTGGGGGGGGGGGGCATGTGTGTGGAAGATTCTATTTCTTCACTCTCCTGTGTTTCGCTAGGCAACACTTTGGCGGAGGCCACGGTCGTGCCAGAAAGCTCGATTTTGCTTTCCTGTTTATCTGGGGGCAGCCCAAGCAATGCTTAGGGGTCATGGGGATATACTGGAGATAATATGCAACTGGGGGGGGGGGGGCGGTCGCCACTAGGGCCAGAAAGCACCACTGCTGGGGGCTAGCAGGTCACAGCAGGGTGATGCTGGCAGTACTCAGTGGGCTTGTGAGCAGGAACTGGAAGCAGGTCCAACAGGAGTCCTGAGCCGTTCCCCCTTCCTGTCCTATATGGGCTTGGTTCTGGGGCCACACCCAGCCTGCTCTAGGCTTACTCCGCGTTCTGCGCACGGGATCACTCCTGGCTGGAGGAGGGAGACCATTTGGGGTCCTGGGGATGGAAGCTGGATAGGACTTGGGAAGGGCCCTACTCGCCAAATGATCTCCTGAGCCCCAATCCTGTTTGGTTTTACTGAATAAATTGCTAAACTAACTCTCAGTATGCTCACCACTTGATATTTACATCTTGATATTTATTTTAGGGGATGGAGCACAGCCAGCAGTGCTCAGGGGCTACTTCTGGCTCTGTGCTCAGGAGAGACCTCTGGGGACCGAATGCTGTGTATGAATGGAACTGGGCTAGGCAGGACACAAGCCAAGGACCTCACTTCTGTGCTTCCTCCTCGGATCTTCGTATGTGACACTCATATCCACTCCCAACTACAACTCCTTCCATCCACCTCGATTAACACTCCTTCCATCTATCCTCAACCACACCTCCCTCCTTCCACCCCCAACCACACCTTCCAACCAACCACACCTCCTTCCATCCACCCCGAACCACACCTCCTTCCATCCACCCCTGAACCACACCTCCTTCATCCACCCTCAACCACACCGCCTTCCATCCATCCCTGAACCACACCTCCTTCCAATCTCGGTCCTGTTTTCAGACAGATGCCTTGGCCATGCTTGATTAAACCAAGGGTTATTCCAAGGACTGCTGTCTGCCCTTCACAAACTAAATCTTTTTTTTTCCCCTTTTTTTTAATCTTCTGGATGTGACTCCAGACAGGATCCAGGAGAAGTTTGTCCAGTCTCCCCTCTGGGTTTTATGGGAACTTATTTTGTCCTTCTGTTAGCCCCTGAAAGCACCGAGTCCATCTTAAGGGCACAGGGAAGGGTGACAAGCTTCTAATCTTTCCAAAAGGACTATCAGATGCCTGCCCAGCACCTAGATAAACTGCTTATATAAGTTACCGGCTGGTCAGAAGACCACCTACATAGAATTTCCATCTTTCAGAAAAGCAGCGCAGAGTGCACCTGCTGTTTTTTATCGAGCTTCTGTGTGTCTGTGCTAACTTCAACAGACCAGAACCAGAGGGCAGCACTTAACAGATGGCCCCCATAAGTGCACTCCAAGGCTGCCATGGGTGAGGGCACAACACGCTGGCTTCAGTGTGATGACGCATTGGGGCACACGGCAGCCCCCTGCCCTCATGGCATTAACGTATTCCCAGCAAGAATTCAGGAAAGCCCATTGAGAAATCTCTAACCCACACATATAAGCAATAAGCCCCAAGCAAAGCATGTCCCAGTTGATCTGTTTTCACTTTAACTCAGACATACATGACAATAAACTGAAAAAAAAAAAAGAAAGATAAAAGAAAGATTTTTTTGTTTTGTTTTGTTTTTTTTGGGTCACACCCGGCAATGCTCAGGGCTTACTCCTGAATCTGCACTCAGGAATTACTCCTGGCGGTGCTCAGGGGACCATATGGGACGCTGGGAATTGAACTCGCATTAGTCACGTGCAAGGCAAATGTCCTACCCACTGTGCTATGGCTCCAGCCCCAAAAGACATTTCTTAATCAATCATCGGGGGTTGTGCTCCTGGGGAGTGTGAGGCCTAGGGAGGACCCACAAACTCTCCTACCCTCTGTGACTGCCACACACACAGAGTGGAAGTGTGTGAGCACTGCATGTGGGGAGCACTCTATCTCCTCATATAGCCCCCTCCTGCCCCCCACTGCTGGGAAGGCCCCCCCCTCCCGCAGGAAACACAGACTCAAAGTCCAACTGTTTCTAGGTGAACAACCTGGGTGGCTGGAGAGAGACAGGGGTTCAGGCACTGGCCTCCTACACGGCTGGTCCTGGTTTGATCTCTGTCATCAATCACAGAGGGTTCCCTGAGCACCACCATGAGTGACCACTGAGTGCAAAAAGTTCACGCTACAGAATTTAATAATTTTTGGTTTCGTTTTGGTTGGGGGCAACATGCCGTGGTGCTCAGGGGAACCTCTGGAGTGCCGGGAATTGAACCCGGGCTGGCCACATGCAAGAAAAGTGCCCCAGTCACCGTACTGTTGTGCTCTTGCCCTGGAACTGGACACTTTTTAAAACCGTCTACATTTCGTGTCATGGCGTTTATTTTAAATGACTTCTTTCACATGCCACAGTCCTCCTACCACACACTAAGCACGGAGCAGGAAGCCCCTCAGGGAACACCCCAGAGCACATGGCTGGTCAGCAGCGGTCTTGGTGAGTGGGGGACAGGAAGAGCTGGGGTCACAAGCAGCAGACTGCAGGCCACCTGCAGAATAGCCACCAAGGGCACGGGGTCTGCTGACCACCCCAGCCCTGAGCACTATCACTGTCACTTTCCAGCCCTGTGTATCTGTGTCACTCTGCAGCCCTGAGCACTGTCACTCTCCAGCCCCACGCATCTCTGTCACTCTCCAGCCCTGTGCACTCTATCCCTCCAGCCCCATGCAGACTCCACCCCCTGGAATCAGACACACAGCTGCCACCCACCAGAACGGCTGCAGACTAGGTAGGTTCCAGCCGCATCCTGAGCACAAGCCCTACAAGGCCTTGGCACTAGGTCCTGCAGCTGCCACTCTGGCCACCATGGCCACAGCACAACTGTCACTGCCAGGCACTTGCATCCTCAAATGGCACCTACCCAGGCCCAACAGGCACCACCCACCTTCAGGAGACCTCTCCCTGACTGCTACTGGGCTCCTCACAGAGGGTGCTGCCAAGAACTCAGAACTGCGACCCCAAAGCCACCACTCAGATGGAGTGCTCACCCCACTGGCAGCGCAGAGCCCCTGCTGGACAGAAAGGATCTGACAGTCTGACGATGCCCACTGAAATTAGGCAATCAATGGGAGACAAGTTCAAAAAGGACCAAGCGAAGTGGGAGCAAAACCCAACCGGAATCTACGGCACCCTGAAAAGGTAACAGCAAGCTCAAGAATTGAGCCCAAAGACTTAAGGATCAGTGAAGGGAAGGCAGGTTAGCAGAAGCCATTCAAAAGGAACAACTGAAAAAATATTTTATTCAAGAATAACATGAGGTTTGGTCTAAGGAAAGAACTAAGCAAATATGTCCAGAAAATAGTATCTAGTTACCAATATGTCAAAGATAGTTGGAAATGATCACTGAGTAAGACCTGTGTGCTGAGTGAAAGTAGGTAAAAGGAAAAAACATTATAACCTCTCAGTATCTGTATTGAAAACCATAAAGGCCAAAGAGAGAGAGAGAGAGAGAGAGAGAGAGAGAGAGAGAGAGAGAGAGAGAGAGAGAGAGAGAGAGAGAGAGAGCTTGGGGAGGGTGGGTGTGAGGAGGGAAACTGGAAACATTCATTGTGGGAAATCTACACTGGTAGAGATGAGTGTTGGAGCATTGAATGACTGAAACTTGATCATGAACAACTTTGTAACTGCAAATCTCATGGTGATTCAATAATTCAATTGATTAATTAAAAATATAGTTCCCAGTTGATTAAATCCAAAAAAAAAAAGAATAACATGAGGTTTAAGGAACGATATCACGAGGAACTAATACTTGAATCACAGGTATTCCACAGAAAAAAGAAAGGAAAGATCAGAAATTATACTTTGAGAAATAACTCAGAGCTGCCACAAGTGGAGGAAGGTAGCAGACATCTCAATTCAATCAAAGAGTTCCAAACACAAAGACACATTCTAATTGAAATGGCAAAAATCAAAGGCAAAGAAAATTCGTAAAAAGTAAGAAAAAATCCAAGTATTCCGATGAGATGCTGCCCAAAGATGCAGACATCTCAGGAGAAGACAGTGTCATTCAGCCAGAGGGTAGGTCATGATCTATCCAACGTGCTGAACAGACCACACCAGACACCAGGACCATCCCACTCATGCGAAGCAGCTGTTTGGACAAAGAAAAATACTTTCACTAGGCCAATCTTTCAAAAGTCACCACATTTACAAAGCAACAAGAGACCTAAACACCCTAAATGGCAGCCAATAAGGAAAGAAACCCTGGGCACTCGCAAATCTGAAATTCACATGTTCGAAGCTGAAAAGGGGCCATACAAGCTTAGAACTCTACACACAAAACTCTAAACAAATTGATCACAGCAACATAAGAAACACACAGAGGCAAATAACTATTTTCTCTTCTGGGCAGTGCCCTCCCTAGTGGTGCCATGGCGGAGTGGGGTGGGAGAGCTACTTGGGACTCGACAGTCAGGGAAACGTAGGCAGTCAGAGATAACCTCAAGCCAAACACGGGATTCCACCCGCACAGCTATCCATCACACTACAGGCAGACATCAGCCTACAAGGGGAGAACCAAGAACAGAGGAACAGAAGCAAACTGCAATAATGTTCAGAATCCACAAGCAGAAGTGTCGGTACATTATCATTTATCAACCATTTCCCTAAACATCAACTCACAGACCAAGGCACAGAGTGGCAGGATGGATGAGAAACAGAATCCGACTTCCTGGTACTACAACGACCCACGGACTCCGAATAAGAAGCTGGAAAAACACCACAAAGGTTTTTAGAACCTTAAAAAAAAAAAAGGCAGATTCTTGCTTCTCAGGAAAAAATAAGACTTCAAGCTGAAAAAAAGTTACCAAGGAGGGGGCAGATATTACATAATGGTTAGGGATTAGGGGGTCCCTTCAAGAAGGCAGCAGGCATCAACACTCTGAGTAAAGAAGCATCAAAATAGATCAACAGAACCCGGAGAGACACATGGATGTCAACGGGGTGGGGGTGGGAAGGTGGAGGCTGAGTATCTACACCCCACTCACAGTGTGGGCAAAAATACTGGAAACAGCAGCATTACCTGGAGAGAGGGGCCAGATGGGCTCAATACACACACTCTACACACACACACACACACACACACACACACACACACACACCTCTTTGAGAGCAGAACACGTACTTTCCTCAAGGGCACCCCCCATTCCAAGTGAAGAGCCCATGCTGGGATACAAAACACATGTCAATAAAGCTATCAAGGCCACAGTCATCAGTGTCTATTCCAATTACAATGGTGCAAAACTAGAAGTGAGCCACAAAAGAAAAGCCTGGGAAAACTCCAATACATGGGAGATTAAACAACATGCCACTGAATGATTTGGGGGCCAATGAGAAAACTCAAAGGGGAAATTTGAAAACAATCTATACCTGGAAAAACAGAGATTACAGATGACTCGGCAAAAGCAGGCCAAGGAGAAATCCAGAACAATACAGGTTTACATAAGTAAGTAGACAAAAAAAAAAAGTCAAACCTCACACCTTGAGGAAAAAAAATAACAAAACAAAACATGAAACAAAATCAGTAGGAAGAAGTGAATGATAGAAACTGGAATGGAAATAAATGAAATAGAAATCAGAATAGATGTGATACAAAAAAAATGAAACCAAAAGATAAAGAAAACTGACAAATTCTTAGATCAGTCTTTTGGGTGGGTGGGGGGGGGAGGAGAGAAAACCCCAAATACGGGATCAGAAATGAAAAAGAAATCTCAACAGATAACACAGAAATACAGACTACCGCAACTCCATGTCACTAAGTTAGAGGAAAGAAACCTAAAAGAAACAGACTCTTTTTTTTTTTAACTGAATCACAGTGAGAATCACAGTTACGAAACTGTTCATGATGTGGGTTTCAGTCATTCATTTCCACCATCAGTGTCTCCAGGTTCCCTCCCGCCACCACTCCTCCCCCAGGGCAGGCACTTTCCTTCTCTGTCTCTGTTCCCTCTCTCCCTGCCTTCCGAGGTTTGCAATACAGATGCTGAGGGGTGATCATGTTTGTTCCTTTACCTATTTTCAGCACACAGTTCTTATCCAGAGTGATAGTTTCCGACTATCTTTGAAACAATTT